TTCCAAAGGATAGAATTTTATAAATTGAACACAAATACTCAAATCACAAAACAACCCGTAATAGTCGAATTTATCAGCCACACTGTTGAATGTACTGGGAGAACATTCAAAGGAAAGTCTAGACTACCACAACACGCTCACAAATATTAAATATTTCCACTAGTAGAGAATACAAATCCTAAAAAGGAGAATAACACCCAAAAGAAACACATAAAACACACTTAGCACACACAAACTACAATTAGAATAAGTAGAATACAACCCTCTCCACCAGACTGTCAGCTCCTCCAATTTATATTTATACTATTTTATTTTTAGTAATGAATAAAATTTTGAAAATGTGATATGTCAATTATTTAATATATAATTAATATTATATTAACAAATATAACATATAATATTTTATTTATATTTGTGCATATGCACAAGATGATTACTAGTGTATATGAATTTTATATGCAGTTAAATTTTAAATACAATTATGTACAAAGATGAAAATAGGACATAAGATAAAAATATTACATGTATATGGATGTTATGAATTGAAAATCAGTTATTGTTCGGATTCTCGGTTCGATTCTCGTTACGGATATTTTATGAATCTCTAGAACCGTGCCAAAAAAAATCGGTGCTATTCAGTTCGGAGATAGTCAAACGGTCACCGATATTTTTATGTTGGGGATGAATTCGGTTTTCGATTTTCACAACTGTTCAGTAATCTCCAAGTCACATGCTCAGTCCTAGTTTTGTGGGTTGTTGTGTTGTTTTTTGTCCTCTTTAAGAGTGTGTTTTAATTCCCTTTTATGGGAGTTTTGTATTCTCCACTTGTGGGAGCTTTTTAACCCTTTATGTTTGATTTTTATAGTGTATGTTGTGGTATCTAGGCTATTTTGAGAAGTCCTCGTATTCTAACTAATTAATCGATTGTAATTATGTATTTTAGTTACTGAATCTATCTGTTTCAAAAAAATAAATAATAATAAAAAAAAAAAACATGCCCACATGCTTGGAATGCTTTTGCTCTGATGTTGCAAGGTTCTGTGTCCTCTCGTTTTAGTTATTTACTCCCAGCTTTTATTTGCGGGCCGTAAAATACTTTTTCAGACAGGACACAACGGGTTGACATTTGGGTGATGCGTTCTGTTCTCTGTAATTTACTAATTTTGTCTTCGTGTGGAATCATCAGACCTCAAACATGGGAACTCAATATTCTGTTTTTCATTCTTCATTCACAAAAAAATATTTGAAATTTCCTTACGCGGGGTTGACTTTAGCTGCAAACATCAAGATGACGACTGCTTGCAAAATGTTCACAAGATCCAATATACTGAAACCCGAACAAAAATATAGTAATAAATTGAAAAGTCACATGACTAGGGTGCATAGAATTAGTCTAACAATGATTTATTCCACAATTTATAGAAGTGAATTTCCAAGAATATTCATTCTTCATTAATAATATCTTGATAGCTTATAAATGCAACCTATCACTGCCCACTTGTCTTCTGACCATGCTTACTCTGTTAAATGATACCAAATTTCGAAAAAATTGAGTGTAATGATTTTGTAAGTATGGTTAGTCCTAGAATTCCCATGCTTCGTGTATTGACTATTTCTGTCTATTTTGTGTTCACCATTTTTCTGCTTATATTGTTCGGTTGTTTTTCCATCTCATCCGCACGTACTGAAAACGTAAATGTAGGTGCATTGATCAACTATGATAGTCGAATTGGCAAAGAAATGAAAACGGCTTTAAAATTAGCCGGTCAAAAGTTCAACAAGTCCTCTAACCGTGCTTTTCTTCATTTCAAGAATCCTCGTGAAAGTCCAATCGAGGCACTGTATGCAGGTTTTTAGAATTTCTAACTTAAATCTTATTTTCTGCAGTAATGATTTTATAGATTTTGATTAAAATACCTGTCTCATGCAGCCGAGGAGCTCGTTAAAGAGAAAAATGCACAATTCATCGTCAGCACGGGCACATGGGCCGAAACTGCTTTAGTCGCTACCTATGGAAACCGAACAAAAGTACCGATAATCTCATTTGCCGGGCCCACAATCGAAAAATCAATCGTAGAACAACAATGGCCCTTCCTAGTTCACATTTTCCCAGACACAAAACAGCAGATCAAATGCATTGCAGATATAATCACCACTTTTCACTGGCGAAAAGTCGTAGCAATTTATGAAGTCGACGATTCGGGTGCTTTTAGTCTGTTATCAGATGCGTTGTCAGCCGTTGGCGTTGAAATCGAGCACCGTTTGGTTCTCCCGCCTTTTTCCTCTTTATCCGACCCTAATACCTTCGTTCGCCAAGAAGCTCAAAAACTGTTGACCAAACAAGCCCGCGTTTTTGTAGTTCTTAAGACATCACTTGAAATGAGTGTTGTTTTATTTAAGGAAGCGAATGAGTTGGGTCTTGTTCAGAAAGATTCCGCATGGATAATATCGGACCCTTTAGCTGGTCTATTGGATTCTGTTAACTCGTCGGTTATTTCCTCAATGGAAGGTTCTATAGGTGTAACGACCCATTTTTCCGAAAACGGGAGACTATTTCGAGAGTTCAAGCAAAACTTCCGGCGAATTTTCCGGTCAGATTATCCGGAGGAAGATAATTTCGAGCCGAGTGTATTCGCTTTGCGGGTATATGATGTCATGAATGCCATCATAATGGCTGCTAAGAAATCAAACAGTGGCGAGTCGAATTTAGAAGCTTTGTTATCGACTGACTTCGCGGGTTTGAGTGGGCGTATTAGCTTCGATGGTGGAGAGTTAATAGTACAACCGTTTGCCCTCAAAATCGTGAATGTGGTGGGTAAAAAGTATAAAGAGGTGGGGATTTTATCATCGAATACTGAGGAAAGACCAGTAAAGTGGTATGAATTTGATTTGATAAACTGGCCAGGGGACTTGAGGAGGGTCCCAAAGGGTTGGTCCATGCCTAATGAAGCTAAGCCACTAAGAATCGGAGTACCCGGTAGAACTTCTTTCGAGAAATTCGTGAAGGTGACTGGAAATTCAAGTATACATAGTTATAGCTATTCGGGGTTTTGTATCGATATTTTCTTCGAGGTGGTGAAGATTGTAGAGAACGATTACCCTCTTCCTTACGAATTTGTGCCTTTCCTAGGGACTTATGACGAGCTAGTTAATTGTGTTGCTAACAAGGTAAGGTGTTGATTTTTTTTTATTTTTTTTACTGCTTTTCATGTTCAATGTGCCAAAAATGGCTTGTTGACTGATTGATTGATTGTGTTATTTGATAGACATTTGATGCCGTTGTTGGGGATGTTACGATACTCGCGAACCGGTCGAGTTTTGTGGAGTTCACTCAGCCGTTCACCGAGTCAGGGCTAACGATGTTGGTGACTGTCAATTCCCGAGCTCGGAACACAGCCTGGATATTTATTAAGCCTTTTAGCGGTGGAATGTGGGCTGTTACTGGTGCTGTTTTCCTGTATACGGTTCTAATCGTCTGGCTTTTGGAGCGTGAAATGAATCCCGAATTCGAAGGGCCGTGGTGGAATCAGTTGAACACCGCTCTCTGGTTCACGTGTTGTTCGCTTTTCTTTGCTCACAGTAAGTTGAATCTTGTTCCACGTAGGCTATGTTTGGTAAACTCGGCTGATAAGCTAACCTTTAACTGATAAATCAGTTTATAGCTTTTAAGTGAATTTAGAGCTTATAGCTGATAGATTATGACTTATGCTGAAAAGCTAGCTTATATGATAAAAGTCTTCGGGTAAAAATTAGCTGATAAACTAGCTGAAATAAAAATTTCAAATGGCTTATTTGAAAAGCTACCCAAGAAAACTTATGAAATAAGTTCGAACTTTTTAAGAAAACTTGTCCTACCAAACTAAGCTTATTTAAATACAAGAAGTTTATAAGCTAGCTTATATGTTTACCAAACACAGCAATAATGCATTAATGCTTTCTTGAGATAATAATGCGATCGAGCTTCGAATTTATAGGGGAGAAGGTATACAACAACTACACTCGTATAGTTGTGCTCGTGTGGCTCTTTGTGGTGCTCGTCCTGACATCGAGCTACACCGCCAGCCTGTCGTCACTGCTCACCGTGCCCCGCATCACACCGAGCATCTCGGAAATCCAGCTGTTGAAGGACCAAAACGCAAAAATCGGGTGTGATGGGGATTCGTTTGTCCGCAAATACTTGGAAAACGTGCTCGGTTTTCATCCGGACAACATCAGGACTGTCGACAGTGAATACAAATATCCAAAGGAATTCGAGACGGGCAACATATCCGCAGCTTTTCTCGAGCTTCCTTATCAGAAGGCTTTCCTTAATCACTACTGCACGGGATACACTGTCTCTGGCAACACGTCTAGTGTTGCTGGAGACAGATTCGGAGGACTGGGTTTCGTAAGTCGTCACTATTTTCAACAAAAAAAAAAAAAAAAAAAAAAAAAATCAATTNAAAAAAAAAAAAAAAACCTTTTTTCGACTGAATAAAATATGTTTGCATAATTTTGTCGAAGCAGGTATTCCAGAAAGGGTCGCCTATAACGGAAGATGTCTCCCGAGCAATTTTGACCCTATCAGAAAACGGGAAGCTGAAGGAGCTGGAGCTCGAGTATATTTCTCCTACACGAAAGTGCGTGCAGAATGCGGATATGATGGAAAACTTGAGCTGGGAAAGCTTTTGGGCACTCTTCATTTTCTCTGTTGGGACTTCTGCAATTTGTTACCTGCTCTTTTCTGTTCACCAGCTTTACGAGCAGTGGCACCGGGAATAACAAGGGTAGCTAGCTGCACATTGGTATAAAAAATGGAACTTCCTTGTGAACAATAGCGAAAAATTCATTTAGGAATATTCTGTACAGTGTTGGAAAGGTAGTTATAGGTAGGAGATACTTGTAATCATATACAAGTGTACATGTAAGGTTAATAAAAGAGCTGGGTTCAGCTTGTTCACAGCCAACAATATACATGTAAGGTTATTAAAAGAGAAAAGTAAAGGTTGTAACCTAACCTATATGCGATAAACGCTTGTACTGCGTTTAGCAAATACATATCGATTCGAGTGATGACTCAGAAGTCAGAAATACACTCTTCCGCTGACCCGGTTAAGAAAGAATCTGCTAAATGCATCATGCTTCTAAGAAAATCAAACTTGTGACACTAATCATTTTACCTCATTTCACCAAAAAATTGCATTGACTGAAGGTGCCTCATCATCCTCAAAAACAAACAAACAAACAACAAAAAGGAAAGAAAAAGGATCAAAAAGAGTCGAAGTGAAAAAAGAAAAGTCATAATTCAGAAACAGAAATCAATATCCAAATAAGCCAGGAGGAAATATATTGATTTCAGGCGANAAAACACACAACAAAAAATCTCAAAGAACTACAATATGGGCATATCCAGTGCCTTCAAAACATCCTTGAACTCGAAATCACGAGTCTGTTTGTTGAAACGTTCGACCAGCTTGTACCTGACGTCATTTAGGTAAAAAGATTGTGCAGTCTCCAAAAGCCATTTTGCCTCTGAGTCACTCAGCTTGCTGGTGAGAACTATGTCACCACGGATAAGCACCAAATCCTTGCTGTCGGCAAATTCCTTGTAGTATGTGGCCGTGAAGTACGGAGCAGCTTGGGTCCCTCTCGCTTTATAATCTTCGAGGCCAGTAAAAAGCATGTGTGGCATCTGAACTGTAAGTTTGAGATGATAAAGGGTTAATTAAATAAATCACCTCTGATTCTTGTTCATGTACAAATAAAAACTAGTCATATAATTTTTGGGTAGTTACAAGTAGTACATTGAAGGTTTGAGCTAACAAAAAAACGACTCAGCTAAACTTTCAAACTTACGCACGATAGGCAAAACACATTTATAATAAGCAAAACACGTTTCAAACTCCCCCACCACATTTAGGAAAATATTACTAAAAGCCCCTTTAATTTAAACACTGAACCAAACCTCTGGGGTATTTCTTGTAATTCGCATTTTTCTTTTCCTTTATACATATATACGTATATTTACAAATTGCACATTTCAACATGTGATAGATTATTCTTACGTAAATACAGATGGGTAGTCTTAGATTTCAATGACTTATTCTGTTCTACAGTTCCAACCATGTGTCACTGCATCAAATGGCAAAAAGGTGAATTTTCTTAACCTTGAAAAAACATTGTTGTGTAGCCACTTCCTTTCCACAATGGGATCACAAAATAACGGCTGTAAAACAAATAGAAAATAACTTTCAGTTTATGAGCAAAATGTAAAATGAGAAGACAAAAAAGGTAGATCCCTACCAATCTGAAGTTCTTTGCTCCAAGAGATGGTACAGCTTTGCACTCATTGACACACCAATATGACCCCTTCCCAGGTGATACTGACAAAACAACCATCAACACTGTAAAATTGCAAGAAAAATATTGAAATCACAAAGAAGGAATGTGCTGAATACAAATAGCTGATATATTTCAATTCAAAGTATATATAGCACCATAAAGCTATAACAGTTGCTTCTGAAGATAATATCATCCACGAACAAAACAGAACGAATGCCTCAAGAATTAATATGCAGTAAATGTTATTTATAAAGAAGCATTTGTTGAATTGTAAGTTTTAGCACAGCCAGAGGCTGTCTGAAATGAAACAATTCACCATATGACGCTTCCATGTACAGTTAGTCAACCATGTCCAGTTAATAGTGGAAAAGCATCCAATATATAACAAAACCACTGCAATCTACTCCTTCAAATGGAGAAGAAAGG